TATTAAGAATCTTAGGAAGTGGTGCTTAGGCTGTTTCAGTAAAGTAAGTCAATTAAGTACTCGGATGGGATAAGCCATATTAGTCAACCATGAACTTTGGGTTTTCGGATGGAATCCCACGATAAGGGTTAAAATGGTAGTTCCAGATCCTTGGGAGCGTCGATTCAGGAGTGGATTCCCCAATGGCAATCGACTCGTAATCAAATGTACAAGTTGGTCTGGAATAAATAAAAATTCTTTATTTGTTGTGTACAGAACCTTCCTCCCCCGCCCCCTCTTTTTATGATCCTAACATTAATACTATTAAGAGTGTTTGTCTTGTGTAGTGTCTTGGTTTATTCCTTGTACAATTTTCCCAATTGGTTCCTTTTCCTTTTTAGTATATTTTGGGTAATTCTATGGGTAAATGGCACAAAAGTTACTAACTTCTCATTTTTTTTCGGTTTTGACACCGCGTTTTTTTTTTAAAATTAAGTCACGATATTTTCAAATTGTTGCAATTCCGACTACTTGACCGGTGGTAATCTGGCTGGCTTGGCACGATGACGTGTCAGAAGCAAAAAAAAGTGGCGCAAAAGACATTATGTTTTATTTTATTTTATTTTATTATTATTATTTTTTTTTGCGATTTTGACAATAAGTTTTCAATCTTTTCCATTTTTAAACATGCGCAAAGATATAATTGTTCCATTTACCTTATAATATAATAAAATATATGTACAGTAGGTTAATAAAAGTATATAAATGAAATAAACATATGCAAAGACATAATTGCCCTATTTTCTGTAATTGATTTTCTTTCTCCTTTCAATCTCATTACCACTCTTCTCAAATAGGTTTTCATAACTTTCTTTCGACTACCCAAGAACCTCAAAAACTACGGCTCATGGGATATCATTACCGGAGAAACCGACGGCTTCAGCGAAGCCTTTACCTCCCAACTAGCTCAAAAGGGCCATTACCTAATCTTTGTTAGAAGTAACATATCCAAGAAGTTTCTGATGAGATTTTATCAGTCCACCCAACCAACAAGATCAATATTTTCATTGTGGAATTTTCCAACAAGAATATGGTGTTTGAAGTTAGGTAAATGTTGAAGGTGAGTTATGGTGAACAACTGGACATGGGTATTTTGGAGAATAATGTTAGGGTGACCTATCCTGTGGCTAGGTTTTTTCATGAGGTTGAAGAAGAAGTTTGGATGAATGTAATCAAAGTGAATGTGATAGGTACAGGTTTGGTAACAAGAGTTGTGATTGAAGGAACAGTTGAGAGGAAAAGAGGTGTCATTGTTAATATTGGTTCTAGTTATGTCATTGTTCTACCTTCACACCGTCTCTATCCGACCTATGATGTGTGCAAATGGTAAGTTGATCATTAATTGTCTCTTTCTTTCTATTAATCCAATAACTGGTTCTCTCTTTCTACTTTAAGATCAAATTAAAGGCATATATGGTTTAATTTTGAGTCAAGAAACATGAACTATGAATGTTTTTATGACCAAAAAGCAGACATGGTTTTGAGTTATGAAAACAAGTTATTTACATACACGAGGCAAAGTCTTAGAAACGAGGGAGGAAAGGCAAAAAAAAAGTTTGTAAAAGTACTGGATTAAGGCATAAGTGAAACCCAAAGGATATATAATGTGACAAATTAAGGTTCTATAGTTCAAATCTTATTTACAAATGTAAGATAAACAAAAACTATATACAAACAAAGATTTTCATTGATGGGGGTGAAAATTGGATATGTTTATTTTATTTATGTCACAAATTGAAGAAAAGAGAAAACTTAGTGTAAAAAAAACACGGTGTTAAAATCGAAAAAATGAAAACTTATGACTTTTATGTTATTTACTGTAATTGTATCTGTACCCCCAATTACTAGTTGTATTCCCATATGTGTGTGAGTGTTTGTTCCCCAATTACTAGTTGTATTCCCCTATGGCTGTGTGTTTGACTTTTTATGTGTAGAGATGTCAAAAAGTCATGTGAGACCCGTTTTAATTTTGGGGGCGGGGGCGAGGATGGACAGTCCCGTCCCGAACCCCTAATGGGGTCCCTGTTAATATAATATTTACATTAATATATATTAATTATATAAATGTAATAAATAATAGTAATGATTTTGAGCTTTCAAAATTTGAAAATCTCCAGAAAAGTTCTAAAATTTTACCCTAATTTACGAAAAAATCCCAAACTAAAATTTGTTTACGAAAAAGAATGAATTACCGGTAAAAATGGCGATTTGACCCATTTTTTCCGGTTTACCAGTTTTATTACTTACCTGTTTCACTAAAGTCCCATTATTTTACCCTAATTTGTGAATAAGTCCCAAAATAAAATTTACTGATGATTTGACCATTTTCTCTATGTAGCATACATTTTACCGGTTTACCCGGACGCCTATTCATTAAATAAGATGATGAGATGGATATGTTGAGTTATATAATGCTATGTTTAGCATAAAACTTGATAT